TGCCGGTCCACGGAGTCCAGGGAGCGCTCCTTCACCGGCACGCCCCGTCCCCGCAAGGGCTTCTTTGGTATCGGCGGAGGGACCTTCTTCTCCTCCTGCCGGGAGAAAGGGCGGCGGCTGAGTCGGGGGCGGCGTGCCACCCAGGACATCCCGATCCAGATCCTCACGTCCCTGCGCCCAGAGGGATGACAATCACGTGGCTCTGGACGTGATGGCGCTTGCGATCGGCCACGGTTCCCGTGACCTGAAGCCCTAGGTGTACTTGATCTGACAAGGTCAAAACCCCACATTTTCATTAAAGCATGGCGAATTCGAGCGCCCCCTGGTGGCGCTGCTCTCAACAGTTCGCATCAGAACGTTCGGTTTTCATTCCCTGTCCGGATCCCCGCTCCCCGATGCAGGCAACACAGTGGGAGTTCACACACCGAGCCTCTGGGCCCCATTAGACAGGGTCTAATGAGTTGGGGGCTGAGCTAGAATGTCTCCTGGAAAGTCCCTCAAACAGCAGCTGGTCGAAGGTGGCTAAGGCAGCTGGAGCAGGGATGAGCGCTGTGGCCAAGCAGATAGTGGTGACCAGGAGTGGTCATTCTGGAAGGGGGTGGTCACCCATCACCTGTTCTGGGTTGCTCTTGTTGCCCATGGATAGGTTCCCCTGTCCCCTCCCTCATACACACACCTAACTGGAGAAGGGAATTTTCCAGAGTCTGGCCTCTTGGCCTCAAGGGACCGCCCCCACCTTAGGTTCCAGGAGTTTCCAGCTGTTGGCCTTGAGTTGCTGTAGCTCCAGGAACTTGAGGGTGACATCCTCGATGGAGAGCTGCAGGAGGTCCCAGAAACCCGCCAGGTCCTGGAAGGTGGGCACGGGGAACGCAGTGGGGTCCTGCAGTGGAGGGACACAGAGGGAAAGCAGCCAGTTAGCGAGATTTGAGCCCCATCCAGGACCAGAGAAAGCTCCATCCATCCTCAATGCCAGGAAGCTCAACCTGGGAGAGTGGGGTAGAAGCTGGGAGAGCAGGGGACAAGAAAGAGTACACAAACACCTGGTCCCACCTCCAGGCACAATACTCACAGTCACTCCTGTAGGCACACAGAACTGGTCTCACCTCCAGGCACACACATATTCTGAGTCACCTGCAAGGTACACACACCTGGTAGGCTCTGCTCCTGTAGGCACTCACCATGCTTTGCTGACACAGCCGGAAGAACTGCTGAACCTTCTGGGATAGGAGAAGTTGTGTGCTGCCCACAGCACTGCGGATCTTCTCCAGGACTAGAGAGCAGAAGAAAATTCGGGGAGGAAAATGATGCATCTCCTTCCCCAGCCTCCAAGAAGTCTGGCCTGAATGCTGCTGACTCCTCAGTTATTCAGTGCTATCTATCCATCAGTCTCCTCCAGTTGCAACTCCATCCCATCTGCAACTTCCTAACAAGCTCCTGTTCCACCTCATCAAGGAGACTATATCCTCAGACACTGATGTTTCTTCCTGCATACAACCTACATTTCTTTTCTTTTCTTTTCTTTTGAGTTGGAGTCTCACTCTGTCGCCCAGGCTGGAGTGCTAGGGCCACTGCAATCTCGACCTGCTGGGCTCAGGTTATCCTTCCACCTCAGCCTTCCAAGTACTGGAACCACAGGCACGTGCCACCACACCTGGCTTATTTTTTGATTTACTGTAGAGACGAGGGCTCGCTAAGTTGCCCAGGCTGGTCTTGAACCCCTGAGCTAAGGCAATCCTCTTACCTCAACTTCCCAAAGTGCTGGGATTACAGGCTTGAGCCACCGTGCCCAGCTAACCTATATTTCTTGAACGTGCATCCTCCTGGTATATTTTCTCCCTCCTATGTCAGAGAACAGACGGACATCAGCCCTGGCCTTGCCTTCAGCCTCAGCCAGGGCACTAGCTCAGTGACCACTCACTGATCTTTGTCACTCCTCAGTGCATGCATGACTCCTTGGCTTCTTAAGAACAACTAAGTAATTCTGTGTACATGACACTTATCTTCCTAGTCATTATCCTATGAACTTGGGGATTTTGTGTCTCCCCTCAGACTGGACTTCCAGGGGAGAGCCATGCCCTCTCTCAGGCCAGAGCCATGTCTACCTAGCTGAATCTCCCTCACCTAGGCCTCAGACATGATCTGACATTGTGAACTGCCTCCCCCTCTGCCTTGAAGTCCTGCTCTCACCACCTGGATCAGACCTGGATCCCCATGCCCAGCCAGGTGTGAACAGAGTCCTCTTGGTCCTCCCAGACTTGGTGATTTGGATCAGTGGCCATCTCCTAGAAGCCCAGCTCTTTTGCCTGGTCAGGGTCCTCAGTCCTAGCCCTGGCCTCTAAAGCTGAGCGCACTGCTCCCTTCCAAGAGCTCCCAGCATATCCTGCGGCCCAAATGCAGACCCGCTGGTGCCAAAGACCCAGACATTGAGGAAAGCAAGTCAAAGGGGTCTCCCGCTATGCTGCAGCCCCATCCGCCCCCACCATGGCCCCGGGATTCCCCTCACTCGGCCGCCGTACTCACTCTCCTCGGGCAGCTCATAGTCCTCCGCCTCGCGCTCCATCTGCTGGCACCAGTGCTCCAGCTTCTCCACCTCTGCCCGCAGCATCTTGATGAACCACTCGCCGTCCCGTGGGCAGGGGGACGTGCGGCCTGAGTCGGGGAGGCTGCGTGAACCGCGCTCGATCCAGGAGTCACGGCGGCCGGCCCCGGGGCCAGGGGTGGGGGCGGGGACGGGGCCGGGCGCCCCATCGGTGGCCGGCGGCTCATACGGCAGTGGGTAGCCCTCGCGGTAGGCCCATTGGCCCTGCGTGTGGACCGTGCGGAAGACTGAGTAGGTGGGGGCCCGGGGCCCAGGCTGGGGCTCAGAGGCGTGCCTCTGGAAGGAGCGTCCAAACTGCAGGGCCTTGTCTTCTGTGGCCACCGTGGCTAGGCCTGCCAGGCCCTCCAGCTCCAGGTCTGCCTGCACGCCAGCTGTCACGCTGTTGGAGCGCTTGAACCTCGCACGCCTGGGAAGAGGGGAGGCTGTCATCTCTGCCCCCGCCCAAGCTGATCCCGGCCCTCACGCCCACCCGGGGCAAAAAGGGAAAGGCATGAGGAAGGAATCCCACAAAGTAATGTACATCAGTCTATTGCACTTATTTGTTTGTTGAGACAGGGTCTCACTCTGTTGCCCAGTCTGGATGGAGTACAGTGGCACAACCATGGCTCACCCCATCCTTGACCTACTGAACCTCAGCCACCCAGGCAGCTAGGAGTACAAGTGCACACCACCAAGCCGGGCCAATTTTTCTTTTTTTGTAGAGATGGGGTGTTGCTATGTTGTCTAGGCTCGTCTCCAACTGCTGGCCTCAAGCAATTCTCCCACCTCAGCCTCCCAAAGTGCTGAGAATACAGGCATGAGCCACCATGCCTAGCCTATATATTTTGAATATACCAATCCTTGCAACAGGTAGGTACATAATATACCTACCTATTGTACCCCCTCTAGATAGGGGTGCTATCCAAACTATTTAACAACCAGTACTCCATAGACAGAACAGATGGTGCCATACACCAAGCAGAGCAGGCACACACCAAATCTGCTACAGTAATGCGCTGTAGAAGCTGGATTGAGGAGTGGCTGGAGGGGCCAAGGTGATGGCTCTTTACAATAAATCCAGAAGCAACACAGTATTTTAACACTTGCTACGTCTATGCTAGTTTACACCAGCTGTACTACTGTGTCCTCGGCCCTACCTGGAGATGAGTACACTAAGGCTCAGAGAAGCCCATAGTCATCCAGCTCCAAAGTAGCAGAGCCAGGATTTGGACCCAGCACTGGAGTGCTCCACAGTCCAAGCACTTCACACTGCACCATCGGCTAGAATATCACAGGAAGAAATGCCACGGAGCAGCTGAGGTTAGAGGGGGCCTGCAGCTGGGAGGACTTCTCCTCTAGGGACCCCGTCAGCTCAGCCCAGAGCCTGGCCAGACACTGTATGCCAGTGCCAGTGGAGCTGAATTAAGTTGTTGGCAGGAGTGACACAGGGCCTGGCAATTTCTTGTCTTTGAGTTAATAATATGCAAATCTTATGCAAAACGGAAAGTCAATTGGCCTTGTTCATTTTTTTCCCCTGAGTTCATTCCTTTCTGTAAAGAAGTCAGAGACTCCCTAAGATGCATGAGGGGCCGGGCAATGCTCTACGAAGTAGGAGTCAGATGCAGGAGGTGGGGGATGGACAGAAGTTTGAGGTTCGGAAATTCAAGGACCACAAAAGAAAGGCCCATCTGTCCTGAGCTAGCTCAACGTTTACATGGTCAGAAGAGAGAGGGGCTTGTGGAGCCAGCTCTAGGGGTTCCTCCAGCTTCCCAAGAGACTCTCCCAACCCCCGCAACTTCAGCTTTCCTCTTGCTGCCCAGGCCTTCTCTTCTTGCCTGCCTGCTTCCCTCCAGCTGGCGGGCTGCCTGCTGGGAGCCTGTTGCCATAGAAACCAGGCCCAGAAGGATGCTGCAGGACCCAGGAAAGAGAGATGCACTCATGTGCAGTCTCCAGTGAGCCCTCTGTCCCAACCCCCATCCAGAAGGAGAGAGAACACATACTCATTGGCTCCCACACAGTCTTCCCCTTTTTGTGTGCCCTGTCCTGCCCCGGTCAAGGTTTGTAACACCATCTGTCTTGACAATTAGATTGGCTTCCTTTCAGATACCTCTGCCTTCACTCAGTACCCTGCAGTGGAAGAGCACTGGACCAGGAGTCAGATCTAAGTTCTAATGCTTGCTTTGTCACTATGTGCCTTTGGAAAGTCACTCGCTTTCCATCTAGGCCATTCACTGTGTATGTGTATGTGTATTTAAAATATATGCATTGTATATTAGATATAAATACACACACATATATATATATATCTAAAAATATACACACACACATATATAATTATAGAAATAGATCAGTAATTGCAAAGGTATCTCTTCTCTCTAAAATTACACCTTGCATATTTTAAGATCTGGGGCCCAACAATCCCTCCCCAGTTCACCCAAGACTGGAATAGTCTTCCTAAAGCTGAGCTCTGCCAAGTCACTCCCCTGCTCAAAACCCTCCCATAGCTACCCACTGCCAACAAGATAAAGTTCAGACTTCCTATGCCAGCATCACCCGAAGTGCTTATGCCCTGAATGGAGTTCTCCTCTTCACCCTCATCTCCCTCACATTCTCATTGTTCCCCAAATAATTTACACATGATCTGGACTCTAAGCCTTTGCACATGCTATTCCCCTGCCTGAAATGGCCTTCCTCCTGGCTGCTCCCTGTCCATTCTTTGCTCAAGTCCTACTTCCACTGTGAACCTCCTGACTGCCCCAAGACTACTCCTCAGTACCGCACCTCCCTCAGAGGCAGCCTCATCGTTTGGTTAAATTGTTGTCTCTTTCTGGTGAGAGCCTTGTGTCTGTCCTGGCAGGATGGTCCTTGGGGCTCGCTTTTTTTCTTTTTCTTTTCTTTTCTTTTTCTTTTTGAGGTGGAGACTCACTTTGTCACCCAGGCTGGAGGGCAGTGGCACACTCCGGCCACCACAGCCTCAACCTGCCTTGTTCAGACAATCCTTCCACCTCAGCCTTCCAAGTAACTGGAACTACAGGCACGCACCACCATGCCCAGCTAACTTTTTGATTTATTGTAGAGATGCGGTCTTGCCAAGTTGCGCAGGCTGGTCTCGAACCCGTGGGCTCAGGTAATCCTCTCATCTCAGCCTCCCAAAGTGCTGGGATTATAGGTATGAGCCACCGCACCTGGCCTTTGCTCACTCTTAATGTGTTTGTGCCATGAGCTTCAGTTAACCTGTGGCTCCTTCAGAACTTCAGCCACTGTAAACCACAGAGGTAAAGGAGGGTTTCCCCCAGTAAATACGTTCCTGAAGACCTGTTACCCCCTGCTTGCTTTCCTGTTATCCCCGATAACAGATCTGTCCTTTAGCACTACTGGGTTTGCTGCCTTTCACCTATCCTCTGAGAAGTCCTGAGGTCACACTCCATTTCGATGGGAATAGTCACACAGTCAGGAACAGAAGCATCAAGTGCTCTAGGCTTTGTGGTTCTCAAGTCCCTACCTCAGGAAGATCTCTTGTATATCTGACTCTAGGAAGATCAAAGAAGTTGAGACTATGGGATGACTAGAAGCCCAGTCCTCACTGACACTCCCAGCCAGAGGCCAGAGATGTGTGCAGCACAAGCAGGAATCGGTCAACCAGTAGTGTGGGACAAGATTGCCCAAGAAAAGAACACTGGATGAAAGATCCAAGATCCAAAGCCCTGGAGAATGTGGACATTTCAGGTATGGGTGGAAACAGAGTAGCCCATACAGGCATCTAAGCCAGAGAGGAAGAGGAAGAAAACCAGGAGCAAGTCGCCTAAAGAAAGATGGGGTGAGAAAGGTCTCAGGAAGGAATGAGCAGCTAACATGGGAAACATAGCCGGTTAAGAATGAAAGGTGTCCACTGACTGGCAATATGGAAGTCACTGGTGATCCAAGCAAGAGTGGGTTTAGTGGAATGTAGAGGCAGATGCAGACTGCAGTGGTGGAAAAAACTAATTAAGACAACTCTTTCAAAGAGCTTGGCTGAGAAGGGAGGAAGAGAGAAGGGAATGTACTGTTAAAGGAAGAATATTTTGTTTTGGGGAGAAAACCTGAGAGGTAGGCAGAATAATGGCCACCAAGAGGTCCATGTCCTAATCCCTGGAACCTGTGAATATGTAAACTTCCGTGGCAAAAGGAAATTTGTGGATGTGATTAAATTAAGGATCTTGAGATGAGAATATCCTGGATTATCCAGTGTAATCACTTGGGTCCTTATAAGTGAAAATGGAGGCAAGTCGGAGAAAGAGATGGGGCAACAGGCTGGAGTGATGAGGAAGAAGGATGCAGCCCACCAGTGATGGCTTTGAAGACAGAAGTGTGGCTGCAAAGCCAAGGAATGTAGAAAGCCTCTACAAACTGGAAAAGGTGACGAGATGAATTCTGCCCAGATCGTCCAGAAGGGGTGTAGTCCTGCCTTTAAAACCCAGATGGGACCTCTGACCTCCAGAAATATAAGCTAATAAAGCAGTTTTGGGATTTTTTTGAGTTAGAGTCTTACTCTGTTGTCTAGACTGGAGTGCAGAGGCATGATCATGGTTCACTGCAGCCTTGACTTCTTGGACTCACGCAATCCCTCCACTTCAGCCTCCCAAGTAGCTGGGACTACAGGCACATACCACCACACCTGGCTTTTTTTTTTTTTCTTTTTTGTGGAGATAAGGTCTTGCTATGTTGCCCAGGCTGATCTCAAACTCCTAGGCTCAAGCGATCCTCTCACCTTGGGCTTCCAAAGTGCTGGGGTTGCAGGCATGAGCCACCACACCCAGCCAGAAGTATTCTTTTATGTCATTAAATCTGTGGCTTTTGTTTCAGCAGGAATAAGAAACTAATACAACCTGTAGAGAGAAATTTATTGAAGATAGAGAGAAGCAATAGTCCAAGGAACCAGATATAGGGGGGATAAGCATTTTACATGAAGAAGCAAGCTCAATCCTCACAAGCATTCCCATGATAAGAGAGTTAGTATCATCCCTACTCATGGATGGGAAATTGAGCCTTAGGGAGATTAAGATGAAGACAGATGCCTCAACCTCTGAGGCAGGGCTGGTAGAGGAGGCAAGGGAAAAAGATACAAGCAAGCTGAGGGTTGGTCTGGAAGTGGACAGAGGTCCCACCAGTTGACCTCAATCGTCACAATGAAGTGGGTAGAGAAGCTGTCCACTGGAGATTTGTGGGAGGTGGAGGAAGGAATGAGGTGAGCAGCTTTAAGGGAGGAAGCAGAGTGAGCACTTAGGCCCATGTGGAGCCTCGCCTGGGTCTGAAACCCAGCCCTGTGGCTTGTACCTCATTTCCCCATCTGTAGTTGAGAACGATAATAGGACCAGCTCACAAGATTGTTGTGAGATAATACACATAGAAAACTTAGAACAGCACCCTGCCCGCCCATTGTGTCAGCTA